CATCTTTACAAAAAGGTGAAGCCATACCAAATAGGAGAAATTATTTTGATTGGAGGTCCATTCGGACTTCAATCAAAATAGGCTATATTGATATATTTGACCACAACAACTATTTTAAAAAAATTATGCTCGAAAACTGCTTTTTACAGTCGCTTTTAAAAGAGTTATTTTCTCCACTACAATTTTATAATCATCTTTACAAAAAGGTGAAGCCATACCAAATAGGAGAAATTATTTTGATTGGAGTCCGATAGATCCATTCGGACTCCAATCAAAATAGGATATATTGATGGTACATATGGTGTGTATTGTACACACCCCCTGCATACAAGCGAAGGGGTATATTTTGATTGGAGTCCATACATAAAATACATCCGAACTCTGTACGTAATAATCTCTCTCCACACAAACCCTTAAACTCAATTCCACTTATTTATATCCCTAAGCAGCGTTCAATGAATCTCAATTTTTTATAATAATAATGATATTATTATTTGTTATTATTTGGCATAATACTAACATACAAGCAAAACTTTGGGCCCAAACTATCAACCAATAAAACAAGAGGAATGTGAGAACGACAACAAAGAAGACAAAGAGAGAGGACAGCGTTGAAAAAATCTGGTCCGTGGATCCCACCCTGTTGCATCCTGTCCGTTGAGATGGTAAAAATTATATCGAATATTCTCGGTTTTTTTTTCAAAAGATGATAAATAATTAAATAATTAAAATAAATTATATTTAAATAATTTTTTTTTTTTCATTTTGAGCTCCAAAATAATTTCAAAATTGAATCAAGTTAAGGGAGATGCAATAACATAGTGAAAATGCGTATAAATTTGAATTTCACATTTGTTTGATTTATTGTTTTTGGATGAGTGTTGGGTCCTGGTATATTCATGGCAGTAAAGAGATGTATAGTTTAGTGTACTAATTTTGTACGGAGATACAACACATAAATATATAAAAAAGAGGGGTGCAACATTCATGAGAGACCAAGAGTTTTACGTAGAAAACTATAGCAAAAGTTCTTAAGAGTGTTGGAATATTTATTTGGTCGATAGGACCGTAGTCGACGGGCAACGTTGGTCGGAAGGACCATAGTCGGCAGTCGATAGTGGACGGAGTCGACGTGTGATGGTGGTCGTAGGACCGTAGTCAGCGGGTAACAATATTTGGAAGGAGATCCGGCACCGATAGCATCGATCCAGGAATAATCGGAGAACGGGTGGAAAGCCCAGTTGCAATCGATCTTCGGGAAGAACTCTGACGATGGCATTGTTGAATGGAGAATGCAAGAGAGCTCTCAAGCCTTCTCTCCTCTTCCCCTCTTATATGAAGAATGATGAGCTATATATAATTTTTTTGAATTGACATGGCTAGTAAATATGAAGAAGATCAATGGTAGGTTGTGAGTGTTCCATTGGACGACTGATATTGGCTTCCTTGATCCTAGAGTGTTTATCAAGCATTTAAGTGACTTAATGGTATCATAATTGAGTGATCTTAGACTCGTTGGATTTGTCTCATCGAGTCGCTCGTTTCAACTATAATCATGACATATTCAAATATCGTTTGGTCATTCAATTAATGCTTTGAAACTTCTAAGTAGGCTTTGGTCTTTGATTTGAACCCATTTGGGCTCGAATTAGATCAAATTTGTTGTCGTTGGGTTCATTATCTTGATATATTTAATTTGACTATAAGTTTGCTGAAATCAGAGTTCCAATGGCCCCGAATTTAATTTTGAAAGTTTCTTATTCATATTTGCATCATGATTCATGCAAATCAAGGTAATCTTTTAATGACATATCAATGAGAATTAGGATTCATTTAGAATAACTGCATCTTTTTGAAAATATGACTCTAAAGTTGCTGTAAATAAAGTAACTTTCTAAAACAAAATTTATTAAACATAGTAAAAAAATAGTTATCAAATAAAAATTTATTGTTTTGATCTAAAAAGTAAACCAGTAAGAAAGTTTTCCCAACCACAGACTCATACAGTATCGCATGTGCAAGACTCAGAGCTGAATAACACTTTTTTTTTTTGGGTAAATTTGGGCAACAACCCCTATATTTCAAAAGAAATAAAGGTTACATGTAAAGAAGGAAACTGCAAAAAAAAAACTCCTCAACAAAAGCCTATGAGGAGCAACTATAAAAAAGAACAAAATACATGTATACCACCCAGTATAAACCAAAAAAGATAAATTTTGATCCAAAATTGGTAGATACAGCATTCAACTTCAGCAAAAAGAGCCACCGCAAACCAAATCTGACTCCAAAAATGCGCAGCTGGGAGACACCAGAAAGCCAGTCCGAGCAAAACCCTGCAAGGAAGAGAGAAAAATCACCAGCTCCCGATGCCAGGAGACTGGACTCAGAGTAAAGAAAGTGTCTCTGGTTGCCCAAAGACCCTCCGAGGAACACACATTGGGGAGCATCATCATCGTCCAGTCCCCAAATACCCCAGGCAAAACGAAGGGACAGGGAACCAAAAAGAACCAGCCGTTTACAATTTATCCAGCAATACCTCAGCATTCTTCCATTTCAACAGCTTCTCAAACATCACCCTTTTAATGCTCAGCAAAACAGTGGTAAAACATTGGATTTTACCACTAAATCTCCCACTATTTCTTTCTTTCCAAATAAAATAAATACTGCAGCAAACCGCCAACTTATAAAAGTTCAAATCAGTCACATTAGCACAGAATTCTGCTTTCATCCAGTCATATAATTGCAAAATAGTCGGTCTGAGAAGAAATATTCCAACCCCAGGCATTAAGCTTCTTAAGATGGAAAAAGAGAAAGAACAGTCAAAGAAAATATGGGCAACAGATTCATCACAAATGTTGCATAGGCTACAGGTTTTGGGAACCAAAATTTGCCTAATTCTTAGCGCATCCGCAGTCTTCAGTCCATCACGTAAAGCCAACCAAACATATACTGCATGCTTAAGAACATGCTTTTTATGCCAGACCAGTTTAGCCCAAGAACAATCATTGTAATTTGTATAGTATTCATTGATAAAAAGCTTAAAATGAAAGCAGTTCTTATCTTTCCATAACAAGCTAGGCCCCTCACCCTCCTCAATATTTACTTGAGCCAAAGTCTGGTGATATAAAGGTGGAATAACCCCAGAATAGTCCCAATCATTCACAGTAATAATGTTTTTCAACATTAAATCCGGTAAACTATTATTATCCACCATACCACATAAATTCCCCAACGTAGAATTAAAGGGCATCCATGACAATACAGAAAAGGTATGGGCTAAGAGGACACCCCTGCCTCAGACCAGCCGAAGAAGGAAAAAAACCTTCAAGTGCCCCATTCAAGACAATTGAGAAGTTGACATCTGAGACACATGCCTTAACCCAATTAATAAAGATAGACGGAAAACCTTTTTGAATAAGTCTGGCAAGAAGAAATTCCCGGGAGACAGAGTCGAATGCTTTCTTGATATCCAGCTTGGCACAAAAAATTTTATCCCCACCTCTTTTACCAGCATGAAAGAGAATATCATTAGCTAGAAGAATGTTATCAGTAGACACCCTAGAATTCACAAACCCAACTTGGTTATCTTTAACAATCAAATTCATATACGGCTTTATTCTAGTAGTCATAGTTTTGTCAATGATTTTGTAAAGCACGTTACACAAGGCGATCGGCCTATAATCAGAAATATTAGAAGCATTTTTCTTCTTAGGAACAATAGCTAGAGCAGTAGCCTTAACACCTTTAGGGAGATAACCTTTAATGAAGAAAGATCTGATGGTCCTACAGACATAAGGACCAAGAATGTGCCAATCGGATTTATAGAAGTGAAAATTTATACCGTCAGGACCCGGGGCAGACTTAGAAGAACCAGAGAAAACAGCAGCTTTAATCTCTCCATCCGTCACAAAAGAGATAAGAGAGGAAGCATGATCAGCTGCCAAGGCTTTCCCCACAGGGAAAATAGCCATATCCCTATTACAAGGGGGGATAGGATTGTAAAGATCTTGATAGAAATTTATGATGGTTGCATTAACTTCCTCATTGGAAGATTGAGTAATAGAGTTGAGCAGATTAACAACCGATTTCTTACTCCCCATGGCACAATTGTAAAGATCTTGATAGCTCAATAACACTTAGTTGATAATCTAAACTCTTAATCAACGGATCATAATGAGTTGTAATAATTTTTCGGCAACTGAGGCTCAGCCTTCTTACGCCCACGCATCGAAATATCATGACCGCTTTATTCTTATTGTTTTTTTACATTTATACCCACCATAAAAATTTCCCGAAAAATCGGTGTCCTAATTGAATATCCTAATTTTTTGCTGAATGAGATCTGTGTATTAAATGAGCCATAAATACTTATACGTAATTCTGTATCCCCACAGATTTGGCAAAAGACCGTTCAACGCACCGTCAAAATCACCGCGAATTCTAATTTCCAAATCGGACAGTGTTATTTCGGTAATTTCAATAAAAAAGAATAACTGTTACAGAAATTAAAGTAAAGTTCACTGAAATGATAAATTAAATGTTTTTATAGCACTGAATATCAGCGACTTCCAATGCAGGCAAGCATCATTGCGCCATGGCTTCGTGCAAGCTCTACGGGCCACTGTGAAGCAGCAGCGGCAGACAAATAAAAGTTGGCAGCATTAGCGGCCGAAGGTTTTCTGTCTGTTCTTCCGCCACTGTATCACTCTTCTTCGCCGCGTGAGATCGAAGGTAATCATCTCTATCACTTAGGTTAAGCTTTTGGGGTAATTGGTGTTCATTTCTGAGGCCAGTCGATTTGCCAAGTCTGGGTTTTGGGTGATCATTGGAAGTAAAAATGGGGGTTTGGTTGGAACTGCGTTGCATTGCGGCTTTACTGCTTTTGTTTTGGTGGAATGGTAGCTTTTTCTCTGTTGATTTCGTCAGCTTGCTTTGTTTTATTCTTGATATTTGGCATTTTCTTAGGGTGATTAATTAGGATGATCTGGTTGGGGGTTAGAACATGGATCAAGCATTAATGCGGTATCGGTTACAGATTCACGGTCATTTGATTTCCTTTTCTGCTTTTTGGTTTTGGGTTTATAAGATTTGCGCAAGTTCACTTTCCTCTCCGTTGCTTCCCTGTACAAAAGTTGAAGATTAGGGGTGTTTGAAGGCTCAGCTCAACCTCCATTGAGGTAATTTTGCCATGCTTGGGCTCGGTGGTAGGCCTGTTGCTTGATTTGGGAGGATCTCTTGTGTATTGCTCTTGATTTTTTAATTGCAAGGGCGTTATATGTGCCCTCCTGAAGCAGAATTGTTCCTGTTCTTGGATCATTGCAGATTAATTTTGTTTTTTGTACTGATTTCTTTGCCCAATTGTTTTATATAATTATGGCATGTATCACCATCGGAAATTTGCTCATGCTTGTTCATTTTATATGGAGTTCTGTTTAGTTTAGTTGAAAAAAAAAAAAAAAAAGTTTCCTACTTTTGGAGTTATCTTTGCTGGTGCTAAGAAGAAAATGACATTTTAACGGAAGTAAAATATATGGCCTTGATTATCCGCCAACAGCTGGCCTAGCTGAAGCAATCTAACCAATTCTGTGTCAAATATATAAATTTGAGAAAGTGATTTCTGTCAGTTGGGGTCTATGAGTCTATCCTTATTTCTTCTTTTAGAATAAATGGAAATCTTCTTTTTTTTTTCTTTCTTTCTTTCCTTTTTATATATTAAAGAACTGTTAGTTTTATAAGTAAAAATGATTTAACTCTTTGTCACAACGTGACAGTATTGCTTGATACTAACTTGAAAGTTTTTTTAAAATTTTTTTTTTTTTAACTTGAAAGTAGTTCATTGTTGCTCTATGTTTGAGACTCAAATTTAAGATGGTTGAATTATTAACTTCAAACATTTCACCACTTGGCTCAGAAGCTTAGACTACGAAGGTAGAAACAAATGGCTGCAATGTAGAGATGGTAAATTGTTCATGCAATCCTAATATACCTTGTTGGTTTTTTTATTTTTATGGAAATTAGTTTTCTCAAGCTTATCAGACCACCGAGGTGAAATATGGCAAAAGCCTCTACACGTGGGTAGAAGCATCTCTAGCTAGTACCATAAGGGGATGATTTCACCTTTCGACATGCACATACAAACATTCATATTTATCATTTTATTTGCATTCCTACTTATCATTATGGGAGCTCATGGTTTCACCTCCTATTTGCTCACTTTTTTGCTCGGCCAGTTTCTCGCTCCCATCCACTTGCTCACCCTTCCTTGCTTGCGCAGTCCCCCTTTTTTTTCTTCTCCTTCACTCACCTGCTTATACTCTATCTCTCACGTGCTCTCTATGTTTCTCTTATTATTTTCATTAGTGATGCTTCAGGACTTTTGACATAATTCCATTAAAAACATGTTATAGTAGTCTTGTTTTATTTTTATTAATGTAAATATTATACTTTCAAATATATGTTATATATCTCATTTTATTATTTCATAATTAATTTATTCTTACCATAAATAAAATTTGATGAAAGGTAGAGGTAGACCTAATAAGACTTGGTTAGAAAATATTAGAAATGATCTTTCTTTATTAGATTTAAATAAGAATTTGGCTTTTAACAGGACACAATGGCAAAAAAGGATTCATGTAGCCGACCCCATATAGTGGGACAAAAGCTTGATGTCGCTCGTTCTCCGCCAGAGGCGGATTCTCCGCCTGTTTGCGATTTTCGCCCTTGAACCGGTCCCGCCTGGACCGGCTGGACCGGTCTAACATTGTCATAAATAAAATTTGATCTGCAGAAAATCTTTTTCCATTGAAGTTTTCTTTCAAAATTATCTCTTTTATAAATTAGTAACAAATCATCTATTTTGAAAAAAAAACATCCATTTTAATTTGATTCAAGCGTCTAGATAAACTCTAAAAACTATTCATATTTTTTTTTTATTAATGATTAATTTTATTATTAGTAGTTAAATATTTGATTTTTTTGTTCTATAATGCTCAATCTTTTATCATGCTCTTTCTTTTGATGCTTTCTTCCATTGAGCAGGGGACAATTTTTATGATTCTTTTGATTACAAAATGCATTCAAACATAGTAGGAGGTACATGGGGTCATTTGTTGGTTTAATGTTATGTTTGAATATATATATGCATGCTCAAAAACGATATTATATATAATAGAATATCGTACATTGGCCCACTGAAGGCATATAATCTAACAAAATGTCACAGGTTGCCAAATCAAATAGTTTGAGAACGAGTAAATCTTCGCTTGAACTTGAAAATTTTGAGCTTTATTTGACTTTAAATTGATTCAAACTCGAATTGCAGCTTGAGTTGTGTTGAATCAATGTAGAATAAATCGATTTTACATTGACTTGGAAGCATTTCCAGCTTTGGTAAAATTATTAATGCATAACTTAGATAAAATTTCTTTGGCTTTAAGTCAAATATGATGGAGCTCAATAATACTCGATAGTAAATAACACGTATAAATTGGTTCTATTTTATTATTTACAAAATTGATAAATATTTTGACGTAGAGTTATGATTGTGTGTTTCATTCGAGTTGATTCAAATCATATTTCAAGTGATCTCCCTTGGTTCGAAGTTGGCTCACATTTCTTTTAGCCAACAATCTAGCTTTTGTCTCAGACTCTAAAAGACTATAAAGAGAATCAACCCAAAATTTTGTGCAAGTTTCAACTATTGAATAATATTGCCATCCCTACTATTATGGTATATCTTTCAAAAGATGTACCATGAACCATAATCTACGGAGAAACAAAATTTTCTTTGACTTGTTTGCAAACATACTAATTCCATAACAAGGTTTGCTGTAGATGTAACTTTTATTTTCCTTTTGTTTACTTTGAGTGCTGTGGCAATTGACCCTGGTGCTTACATATATTGAAACTTTAAAGTATTTCATGATAGGTTCCTTAACTAATTTCATCATGGTTGATAACAGCTGAGCTCGTCAATGGGGCTAAGTATTGTATTGGAGAGTCAAAATCATTTTGAAGTTGGATCAAGACCTAAGATTGCACGTTCATTGCACTCCAGTAGGAAGAATGCTGAAGAAAGGTTTGTATATCAATGTGCAAATGCTGAAGATAGAGATAAAGAAGCGCAAAAGTTAGGCACTCGTCACTTAAGTGGTAGCGAACATAAAGAATTTTTTCTGAATAATCCTGCCAGTCCTTGCGAAAAAAGCATGCCTTCTAAGTTAATTGCATTTGATATAATAGATGGTGGTGTGGTAAAGCGGAGTTCGATGTATCAAGGCTCAAGCGAAATCAGAAGAATGCTAAAGCTAAGAGGTGGAGAGAAAAATCTAGAACCTTACCTTGATGATGGTTCTTTTCTATCCTTTGAACTTGTCAACTCCACACCATGGAGGACATCAAATGAATCTGTTAAGTTTCCTCAACTGAAGAAAGAACCACTGATGCCCTTAAATTTACAACCGAAATCAACATCTGTTGTTCAGTCACTCCCAAAGTCAAACATGGAGTTCCTAGACTTGTCATTTCGTGATCTTCTGGTGGACCGCTCTAAGATCAGCATTTCATACTCAGATGCGGCTCCGGCAGGTAGCAGTTCTGCAGATAGCATGTTGGGGATATGCTTACAAACGGAGGAGATCAACAACATTCTAGTAAAGGCAGTGCCTGATTTTCTGGAGGAAGGGAAAGTGAAGGAAACTAAGTGTAGGCATCAGTTCTTAAATAGTGGAGTTGAAGCAAATATTTATGAAAAAGATACTGTATGCGTTCTGTCCAAGTGCTTTTCAGAAAAGGTGGGAATTTCTAACTCGTGTTATAAAGAAAGAGAGATCTTGAAATCCAATTATAAGACTCGTTTCAGCCCATTTAAGAAAATGTTGGATCCTGTAATGAAATCAAAATCTCTGCGTAACCAGTCACTCATGGAACCAGGAACTACTAGTAGCACACCTGATACTGTGAGCTTAAGTAGATATAAGGTCTTCCCCAGATCCTTAATGAATGATTTCTCAAAGGCAGCTCAGAAGATTGATAGTGACAGGGCTAGTGACCAGGTAATCAAAACAGCGACGTCACCCGTGCACTTGCATGCTATTCTTAAGTGGGAATTTAGCCATGGTAGCTCATCTTATGAATTCTCCGTCAAAGATCCTGAAGATGTTCTGAGTGCAAAGACATGGAAAACAGAAAATGCATTTAATTGGGTGTATACCTTCCATTGCTGTAAAATGAAGAGTAATAGCATCATTCATGGGAAAAAGAACAGGCTTCTTCAGCCTTCTCATATGATTGGTCAGATGCAGGTTTCTTGTTACTTGTGCTCTGAAATCAGTGAAGCTGGATCATTAAATAACTCTGCGGTAACAGAGTTTACTTTGTATGACATTGCTCAAGCAAGAAGGAGCGTTGCAATTGAAAAATCTGATTGTCCTTCAGACTCCAATCAAACTTCTGCTTTTGCTGTTGCTGATAGCTTGGTTAGAGGGTGTTCCAGTGAGTTCGACATTGACCCTTCCACTTCTTACCCGTGGGCGTCAGCTGATTTGCTACCGAACCTTGAAATAGCTTCCATTGTTACTCAAATTCCATTTACTAAGAAAGAAGCCTTGGAAAATATGCAAGCAAGAGATAATGACAACTGTGGAAACCAAGACTTACCAAGTTCTCATGCTGCAGATCAGACAAGAGTTACCATTGATGGTTACTCAAGTCCTGCATATGTGAAGGTAGTTACACCCAGTGGGAAACACGGGCTCCCCGACAAGGAGGACATAGGACCCTCATCGTTACTTGATAGATGGAGATTTGGTGGAGGATGTGATTGTGGTGGTTGGGACATGGGCTGCCCAATTGTTGTATTTGACAATGCCAATGATGATAATGTGACTTCAAGAGCAGAAACTCAACAACCAAATATTCTTTTTTTTAAGGTATGATACCATATACCACAAACTTACTTCCAATCTTGTATTCTTTTTTTTGTTGTTGTTGTTGAGTTTTAAATGTTAAAAATATCATGTAGAATGCAATACAGAGACTTTGGTGAGGATATATAGTTAGTTGTCTTACTATCTAGAAAGGATCTTTCAAGTGATTATTATAAGATTTGTTTTCAATAGATGAAAGAATGTTTGATGTTAAACTTGGAGAAATGTAATAATAGGAAAATAATCCATATTTGGAGTGTGGTGCATGTTTTATTGAGTGTAACCATTAAAATGATTAAAGCAAAAATATTTTCCTCCCCAACATGCTATCAAATCAAGGAAATCCTAAACCCAAGTTGACATCACCACTCCCAATACTACTCTTAATCTTGGCTTGTCAAGCACTCGCGATGTCCTCTCTCGATCCAATTCTGCGGATCCCATACAAACTTCTCATGTTATTGACACTTTCATACTTACCATGCACAAAGTTGCAAACCCTCATCCCATGTACACGTGCATGCTCATAATGCATTTTTATCATTCCCCTACAAACCCCATAGTTCTAATCTAGTTCCGTCTCACAACTTTCCTACTGCTAAACCACTCTACAGTCTTATTGTCATTTGTATTAGAGGCCACAAGGCCCACAATGACACCCCTCAACCCGTGCATGTACCTATTGCTCTTTATTACAACCGACCACTACCTTTGTTACACTCACTCGCACTTATGTCATGTGTGTTACATGATCTCTCATTGAATTAACCCCTCTTAATGACTTCAAAATGGTTCTCCACCATAAGTACTCCTATCAAATTTAATGGATACCAAATATTTCTTGTGGTCAAGGGTTTTATTCTTCACAACAAAATTCATCATCGTGATGCTTCTACTCCAAGTAGCAATGGCTCCAAAAAAATTTTCAAATTGCAATCTAACTAACTTGTTCTTACCTTCCTAGTCATTAGTTCTGAACTTTCAATTACATGATTATTATGTTTCAAAACTCGACTAAGAAGATGTATGACTTCGTTAGACTCTTCACTCTTGAGATTTTTTTCTCCCCAACCCAATGATATACAAATCCAAGAATATTATAGCACCCTGAGAGCCAAATACGATAAGTTGCTGCAGTATTTCCCTTCACAATTGATCTAACTATTTAGCAAAGCGGAACAAGAAATTTTTGGTTGCCAAATTGATCTCCAAATTGCCTCTAATGTGCATTTCACTTAATTGTTGACTTCACAATTCATAACATTATAGCCACTCTCTCCCAAGCTCTTCCTATTATTAAACTCTTTTCACCTCACACTCCAACAACTTTTTTAGTGATGCTTGAGGGAGTTGTGAATGTGGAAGTCATAGCTATAATGTTTTTTCCCTTGTTCTCATTACAATTGTTGGGGATGATCATGATGAGGAAACATCACAATGACGAAACAAGGATGAAATTAAAAGCAGCAAAAAAGTAAAGAACACCAGGATTTATCATGGAAAAATTCAAAATAGGGAAAAAACCACAGAGCAACTCAACACCAAAAAATTCACTATAAAAATTGGGAGAAATAAGTACAGATCTCTCTTCTTTCTCACTCTCCTTGCTTATCATCTCACATGCACCATTCTCATACTTGTCCTAACTCAAAAAATACAAGAGAAAGTATGTTATAACTCCCAAGAGACGTAACACTTGAGAAAAACGAGAAAAATAAATGTTCAGTCCATCTCGCAGCGCTACGGTGCCAGTTTGGGGTGCTGCGTCGTCCCATCTCTGTTTGACAATGCTGCAACGCTCAAACACTCAATGTTGCGGCACTTAGTCTCTGTCTTGACCCACTACAGCACCATATTTTGACTGCTGCGGTGCTCTACTCTCTATCGTTCAGCGTTGGGGCGCTCGGGAACACAACAATTGGGCGCTCAGGTATGCAGCACCAGGGCGTTGTACGGGAAAAAAAATTATGGGTGCAAAGCACCCAAATCCAACTAGGGGGGTAAATCCCCCGCACCCCCAGTGAACATGACAAGCTTTGAGTTCCTAGATAACAAAACTATCAGATTGATCAACATAATCAGATTCAACACATAACAACAATCACACCAATCACACTCTTAACCATTGCTCGGAGGATTTCAATTACTTTTTTACTCTTCAAACATGATTTTGCAACCACTCCACTTTTATCTTCTAATTCTTCCTCCTCCAGATCAATTATTATCTCTCAAGATCTCCTATGATCATCTACTTAAACAATAATACATATCCCCCAACCTCAAGTATCATCTCTTCCTTTGGACTCTTTAAAGTTTTCTCTATTGGTACATCTAAAGTTGTAGATCTTGGTGCATCTTCTCAATTGGCAAATAATTGTCAACTATTTTTGTCTCTTTGTATTTCCTCTCTACCATTTATCATTATAGCTGATGGTCCCCACTCTCTTTTTTGAAAAAGGTATTATGCAATATGCATCCTTGTAAATCCATCTCTTTCAAATGTTTTATGCGTTCTATAATTTCCTGTCAACCCACTATTTATTTAGTGCCTTTTAGAAAGTCTTAAATATTTAATAACCTTCTCTCTCATTGTGTCTTTCAGGATTTTAGTACTAGAAAGATGATTGGTGGATGTGTTGAAGTTGGAGTTTACTACTTATCAACTATTACTCGGTCTATTCTTTCTTCTAACAATATTTCATATTATGGCACTATCAAATAGTCCATTCCATATCTACCAAACTTCAAGCTTATATTTATGTCTTATTTCTCTTCAAGTTTGATTTATTGTGCCTGAATTTAGGTAAACATTATAGAATGCCCTTTTCGTCTTCCACTAGTCATCAAAACCTTCCTTTTGAGCTTTTTCACTAGGACATTTAATGTTCTAGTCGTGTTCTTACTTACCTAGGATTGATATTTTGTCACATTCGTTGATGATTATGTTAGGGCCACTATGATTTATTTGTTCAAATGGCAATGACAGATCCTTCGTGCATTTCAAACTTTTTGGCAAGAATTTTTTTTTTTTTTTTTTTTTTTTGAGTAGTACAAGTTTTAAGCACTAATAATGCTATAGAATTTATGCAATCTCAATTTCATAATTTTTTTCTAACAATGGTACTATTTATCAAACATCTTGCATCTATACATTTTAATATAATAGTGTTGTTGAATGCAAAAATAATCATCCACTTCATGTTGCTATGACTTATGTTTTATATGAAAATTCATCGTCAAAATTTGGGGAATGCATCTTAACCGCCTATTATCTCATCAACTGAGTTTTTCCCCTTTCCTAGATAGTTTTCAAAACTAAGGGGGATGCATGGTAACCATTTATTATCTCATTAACAAAGTTATCTTCCCTTCCCTATGTAATATTTCACTTTTCTTCTTTTTTTTAGCCAACCAATGTTTTTTCTTATGCCTCAAATATATGGTCGTTTGCTTTATTCATGCCTTTCCACTCGCTAAAAAAGCGCTTAGATTGTCCCATTCGATGTAATCTTTCAGGAGTATTCTAGTATTAAGAAAGTCTATTTCTATTATAGTTCTTTGACCCAACTCTTTTGCACTTTAAAAAAATGTTACTTTTCGTGAAATTGCCCCTCTTTTCTCCATCTCCTTCAAAACCATCTTCACACCTTATTCGCCTTCTCAAGTTGCGCTTATGCTTCTACTCCACTAAAGGTTTATTCTCGATGACCTCTATCACCTTATATAACATCACCTCCATGCACATTTTTAGAATCAACTAAGCATGCACTTGGTGACAAATCCGTTGTATGATTTATATTTACTGCTTATCCTACAAAATTTTGAACAATAACATATTACACACCCCATTCAATCTTATACATCATTTGGTCTTCTTCCATTTTTTTGTATGTTTGTATTGTCCTTATCATCGATATCATTCCCATGACATATCAAAAAATGCCATGGAATTTCCTAGGGCTGCAAATGAACCGACCGTTCAACGAACTACTCGTGGCTCAGCTCGATAAGAGCTAGTTCATGTTCTTTTGATAAGGTAAGCGAACAAGCTTGAACACTTTTGATAAATACTCGATGACTAAATAAACGAGATTAAACAACTTGGCGTTCGGTTTGTTTATGTTCATGAACAATATCGTTTAACGCTCGTGAACAAGCTCATTAAGATGCTCGATTAGAGCTCGACTAAGAAGCTCAATTAGAACGGTATTAGAGTTTTAAAAAATATATTGATGTGATACATGCATGGAGTTACAAGAGATTAACAAGAAAATTTATTAAAAGTTAACCATCATAAAATTATGCGTCAAATCAAAGTAAGATGTTAAAATTCGCAGTGTTCCATTTGCTTAGTCAAAGAAATACATTAAGATTAACTAGGACACTCTCAATCAAATACTAAGGCAAACGTAATGTAATAGCTTATAACACAAATCCGAAATTTAATATTGAGATGTTCACCTTGAGGGTTTACTCTCTCTCTACGGTTCTAGGCTTAGCGGATGAAGATCTTCCACACCAGAAGTGAGATGACCACTAATAAGGACGAGCCGAGGAGCTTGGTTGTTGGGAAGGTAGCTGGAGTTGGAGGAGGCAAGGATCGTCCGATGAGGAACCACGGGGTTCTTGGTCGTTGAAGCTCGATGGTCTCGGCGAGATAATAAACGATGCGGTTGACGTAGCGTTCTACTGTGCCGTCGTACTCCCAATCCGGTTCGTAGAAGGGAGAGAGTAGGATGTCGATCTCGCCTTGGGCATTGTAAGCAAAGCCGTGATCAACTTCCAGATCCGCCATGCATACTTGCCAGGAGATGAGGGAGCACTAATGGAGAGAAGAGGTAGAGGAGGTGGCGGTTGGAGGGGATGGTGTTGGGCCGACTTGAGGAATAGGAGGGGAGTGGCTAGATTGGGGAAGCACTTGGGGGAAATTTAGAAATTAAATTCAGGTTTAAGTGAAATTGGATGGAATTAATTTGAAATTCAAATTAATCCATTAAAGACTAGGGGCGGCAAAGGAGGAGGGGATTGGGGCTGATTTATTGGGGGAATTGGGATTAAATTGGGAGAGAGAAAAGTCAAAAATCTGAAATTAATTTAGATTTTGAAAAGGATGGGAGGGAGGGAGTTAATTTTGAAATTCAAACTAAGCCCATAAGGGGGCCGGCGGTTAGGAGGGAATTAAGAGGGATTAATTAGTGGCAATTAATGAAATAGGAGAGAGAGGGAGAGGGGAATAGGTGGCCGGCCAAATAGAGAGAGGGGGAGAGGGATTTGGTTTAATTAAGTGGGCCTCAAGCAATAAACATTGATTTAAATAAAATATGAATTGAATTTTAGATTTTATCTAAAAGGATAAGTTTCCAAATTTAAGTGCAAGCATTTGGAAAGCATTTGAATTTCAAATTTGAATTGAAATTCAATTAAGTAACTTTTCTAATTACTTAGACTTATTTTAGGAAAGTGATTAATGAACTTTTGAAATTTGAATTTCAAATGTGAGGGCTTGGGGAGGTGGGCTGGCGGGTTGAGCAAGTAGAGGAAGGGATGGTGGAGGGAGGCGGACGGCTGAGTGGTTGGCCGGCGGGTGGGGCGGCCAAGGAGGCCGGCGGTATGGTGGGAAGGGGCTCGGGTTTAGGGGAAAAATTAGATGCTTTGGTTAGGTAAGGCCGGCGATGTTTGATTGGGGAAGAATTGAAAGTTGTGGAAGAAAAGAGATTGGGGCCGCGAATCTTGGAATCCACCAACGATTGACGAGTCTTGCTATCGCTCTCCTTGGGCTTCTCCTCTCATGAACTCACTTAGAGATCAAACAAAGAACATAAAATTTCATTTCATAATCATCATTCGATACAATAGAGGAGGCCACAATATATAGGCCTAAGGAAACAAAAATACAAGGATGTAAATGCTCCTGGGGCTACAACTTTAAACAACTCAATAAAAAGGGTACAATCGTAAATAACAATTAATACATAAATATCAAAATAAAAACTAAGCATCAAAATAAAGGTTGTGGATCGTAGCCATCGATCTGCTCCTCCTGCGCTGATATACTCGTCGAAAATGTCTGTCGATGTCCTCATCATATATATTGTTAAATTTAATAATTTAATAATTTATTTTCACTTATTCCATTAAAATTGTTTAATAAATTATTTTTACTTCCCGCATCAGCCTAAAATCGCGAACAACCCATTCTTTGAACAAATATATGATGAATCATAGATCGCTTGTTCGTGAACGAGTTCATTTGGTAGCTCAAAAATACTAATTAGATATGTTCATAAATGGGCTCATTTGATAGCTCAAGAATACTCATTAGATATGTTTGTGAACAACTTTGTTTGATAGTTTATAAACTTCACTAGATATATTCACAAACATGCTCGATGTGATTGTTTGTTAGAAGGCTCGATAAGGCTCGTTTGGCACATCTAGAAGTAGAGTTTGTTTATAGCTCGATAAGACATTTGTTTAAAGCTCAATAAACATGAAATGAACCAAACATCCATTAATTTAAACGAACCAAGCTTGAATACAAACAAAAAGCTCGAATCAAACTTAAACCGAACTTGAACAAGCTAATAATAAATGAACTCAAATATGGACATGCACATTCTCGGCTCGGCTTGGCGTTTTTGCATCCCTCAATTCCCTACAAAAATGGGCTATGGATGCTAAGATGACTACTTCACTCAATCGTCATATTTGGGATTTGGTTGTTCCTCTTGTAGGGTTAAACTAATTGCTTTTTTGGGCATTTTCCATCAAATTTCATCTTAATGGTTTTATCTTATAGACAAAGCTTGCTTGGCTGCCAAAGAGGTCATATGGGTCGTATAGGTCATATAGGATTTGGTTGTTTGTTGACAAGTTTTCTCACTATAAAAATCGAGCGGCGAAAGCATATTGAGAATTATTGTGATGAGGACATCGGAGATCAACGACTATGATTTTTTTTAGTTATTTATTTATATGTTTTTGTACTAGTTTATTTTATACTGTTGTTTTTCCCTTTATACCCTTATGGGTGGTCATGTAGTGTTGTAGCCCGAAGGGCATTTTAGTCTTTGTTATTTTTCTTTTCATGAGGCTTATTTATAGGCTAGCTTTCTTGTATTGAGGGATGAAAATTTGGCTCTTGTGTTCTCTTTGTGAGTTCCGTCTTGAAGATGTCTTAGTGAGTTCTTTTCTCATAGATCTCTGTGTGAGTTCTATGGAGAGCCCAAGGTGAGGGCAAAAGCAATACCCGCCAATCGTTGGAAGAGTCTGCTGCTCGTGGTTAAATTCTTCTATCTTCTTGTTCGTGTTTTCCTCCATCTTCTTCCCCTCCACCATAAGAAAATCTCTTCCAAAACCCTTGTTGCCGCCGCCCCCTTGAAAGCCCGCCGCCGGCCACTCCCACGGCCCCGGCCGGCCACCTTGCCGGCGACCTTCCCCACCCGTCCAATCCCTCCTTCCGCAAGTTTCAAATTTGAAATTTGAATTTCAAAATTCAAATTCTTTCTTAATTGGGATTTCTAATTTAGGAAAGTTTTCATGACGAATTCCAATTTCAATTTAATTTAAATTGATCTATAGATTGTCACGTATCAATCCATAATTGGAAGCTTATCCCACTAATCCTGCCCTCTCCCCCTCTCACCTTGCGCCGACCCCATGGGTTTTCTCCGCCATTTGATTCTTCTTTTAATCTCCAATTAATTTCTGTAATTACTCCTTAATTTTTGAAATTACCAAATTCAAATTAATTTTCCTCTCTTTTCCTTAAAATCTCTGAATTAATTTCAAGTTTGAATTTGAAACCCCCCTCCCTCCTCAATGAGCCCCGGCCCCCCTCTTCATGGATCCCATTAAGTGGCTTCATTAACCCCCCTAATTAACATTTGAAATTTTGAAATTAGTCTTCAAGTAACCCTCCAAATTTACTACAATCTGAGAGATTAATTTCCAGATTTGAGTAAATTCCCTTGCTCCACACATTCAGCCTAACCTCCCTCTCCCAATCCACCCAGCCCCTCCCCTCCTCCCACCCTTGGCCGGCCCTTTCAGGCTTACGTTTTCTCATTGCTTGCACTTTAGGAAGACTACCTTGCTTCCTGCTTAGCCGAACACTCCTGTTTGTGTCCAAGACGTTATGCTGCTGTCCTGAATATTTCCGACGAGGCAAACTGCTGTCCTGCACCCCCGGAACCCCCGTTTGCTGTCCGGAAAAGCCACGGCTGCTGTTTCAGGATTCCAGCAATTCTCTGGTGTTGATTCTCCATCCGGAAGGCTCTCATTGGTTGCTCAGAAGATCCCACACTGCTGCCCACATGCAGGACTTCTTCAAATTCAGCCACCGGACTCCGGATCTTCTCCCTTGCTACTCAAATTCATCTAAGAATTTTGACGATGGTGAACTCTTCCCCAAGTTTCCTATTTTCCTAGTTTATTTTCAATTGTGGTTATATTTTGACTCACAAGGTTCATGTCAAGCTCTTCACCGCTAAAGCCTAGTAATTAGAAGAGTTGTGTGAGGGATCTTTCATAGCCTAATCCTATTGTTAGTTTTGGAATTTCTCGTTGAAACCACTCATGTATGCAAAGTAAGATTTAGTTGACTATTTAATGATTTCAGCCTCTCGCATGTGTTTAGACCAAAGTTATTTTATCACCTTATCATTTTTATTTTGTCGTTTATCATCAAGAGAAAGCTTATAATTATTGTGCTCTAAAATTTAAGCGTGCAAACTTCCTTAATTTAATCATCCATGCTAATACGTTTCACATCATATTGTCATTTCATTCAGGATGTTGTAATTTCTTAGAAGTCTATCACTTCTCATCTCTTTACTTCAAAGCATGTGGCTGATATTTTTACTAAGGATTCAGGTTCTGTTATTTTCTAGCAATTTTATAAGAAGCTGAAGTTAAGTGATACATATATATCTCCCAACTTAAGTGTGTTTTAAACGGAGAGAAACATCCATAATACGAAAATATTATATTTAGGCTTCGTTTGGTTGTTCCTATTATATATCTCCCAACTTAATCATAGTTTTAGAAACAATGGTTAAGAGAATGGAGTTTTCTAACAGAGAAGCAAATGTCAAAAAGCTTCTCAAAATAGTAGAAAAATGAAGTTCCCTATAAAGCATTTCTATAGAATTGTCCCATTTAAATAGCGACCAAAAAATAATTTCTCCGTCTCTAGACAGAAGAGGGGAAAAAAAAACACCGAAACAAACGAGGCCTTAGAGAGCGGCGTATGTTTTTTTAGTATATTTTAGACCATGTGCTCTTTCCCCAAATAACTCTTTCTCTAGCAGTTGAATTAATGGTTATAGAGTAAAAAGTTGGAATAATTCATTGCGAAAGATTACCATTATAAGGATTACTTTTATTCATTGATCTGCTCAACCACTGCTTACTGGTCAAGATAATCCTTTTTTATGCCCATTCTTCATATTTGTATTGGATTATAATTATTGTTTATTATCATTCCTCCAAAGAATGTTGCATTACTCTAGGACTCCAAATCATATTATGAGGATCACTATCTGAAAATATTTTCCTTTTTCAATTTTCTTCTGATTATTGTCACAACTGCTTTCCCCTTGGATGCTTATTGTCCTTCCTTTTTACCTTTTACAGGGTAAAAAAGAGAAGGTTCCTGCTCTCACCATTACAGAGACTGGGAAGGGACAGTATGCAGTTGATTTCCATGCACAGTTATCAACATTACAGGCCTTCTCAATCTGCATTGCCATTCTTCACAGTTCAGAAGCTTCTTCAGCCATTGGTCAAGACAATAACAAGTATAAGCTTTACTCTAATTCCCTCAAGCTTATCCTTGAAGAAGAAGTGAGACATATCATGGAAGCTGTAGCAGAGGAGGAGAAAAGAAAAGAGAAGAGGAAAGTTGAGCAGGCACCTCCATTTTTCTTCCTTGACCCTCCATTTTCTCCAATGGGGAGAGTCTAGATTTCCAAGAGAAGTAGCTTTACAGTGAATTTAACTATGGAACCAGCAGATCACATAACATACAGTAGCATCTAGCTGCTAATGCACTCATGGAAAAGAAATTATGCTTTCAAAGATCAATAAAATCAGTTAGTGGCTGCTTCAAACTTGCTGGAATTTGTGGTATTCAATTCATTCTAACACTTTATTTGTATAAATATGTCAGGTTGAACATCTCTCTAAGTATATGTGAATTTTGAGAGATGCGTATGAGAGAGAGAGAGAGAGAGAGAGAGAGAGAGAGAGAGAGAGAGAATACATTTTTAATGTTGCAAAATGAAGGTGGTACAAATATAATGATAGACGCTGAGTTGTGGAAAAATAATTGACTGTACAAAGTCTTTGCCTGACAACATCGCCTCAATCTTAAAGACAAATCTATCCATTCCCCCAACAAGAAACCTCTATTCCCTCCTCTACCCTCCCTATGCCTCTAATCCTCTTGTTCCTCCACCATTATCTCCACGATGCTATCTGATGCCTATCTGCTCTGCCTGCACACCTCGTCCTATGTCATCTTCGGGAGAAATTATTACGTGCGGTTATCGGACGGTCCAGAGGCGAATCAATATGCTTCACATCACCCTGTTATGTTATATAGTAAATGATAACATGGCGCGTTCTGATTCGCCTCTGGACGACGTCCGGTGCCTGCACGTAATAATTTCATCATCTTCTGACATTACTCGTCAAACCTGACCCTCTCCTATGGGGATGCGGCGCCCTCCGCCGGGGTGATGGCCTCTACAAGGATTTTCCTAATCTGGCGTTGAACTCTGGTCCTCTTAAGAAGAAAAGCACTTCAAACATGTGCTCTTTGAACTCATCTCTCTCATCTCAATGATGCTTGATGAGGATCATTTGATTGATGTATAGTGTGGTTACATTTTCCTCCACTGAATCTCAAAATCAAAAGCATTTATAACTATACTTAAATCTGTTGATTTCTCTTATTTGTGGTTATATTTGTATGTTTGTCCTTTCTCATCGATGCCATGACAATGTTTTTTAATCTGAATTTTTTTAATAATAAAAGAAATTTATGTCATTGAACTTATCATGAGACTTATGTTCTATTTGGGATAATTTTTTTACTGTTTTGTAAAGTAGCTTTATGGCTAAAAAAAAAATTAGTTAAAAAAAATTATACTAAAACTTGATTTAGAAAGTAATAAAGAAGTTGTCCCAAATAATGATAAAAATAACCTATATTTATTAAATCATAAATTAGAATGATTAATTGTAGCCGCTGCTTTGGGCTCCCTAGTCAGAATCTTTTGCTAGGCATCTGCTATAATATTTTTTTTTATTTTATGTAACTATCGTAGCTTCAGATCTAAACACTCATTTGTATTCATTGTTTGGATATATTAAAATATTTTCAACACATGATAGCTGTTTCAATTGTTTTTCTATACGACTTGAGCAAATGATGAATACAACAGTATCCATCATTTGAGCTTCTACATGATATCAGAGCAGACTGATTAATCGCCGATCCATTTCTTTCGGCGCAATCTATTTCTTTCAATGGGGGACTCATCTGTTTCGCCCTCAACCCCACAACCTTTAGCACCCGCTTCTCCTCCCCCATCGACGACTGTATTCCATTTGTACTCAAGTTTCTTGTTTTAAAAATGCGGTTCACATTTAGCTACTCTCTGATAATTACCCTACTTGGAGATCGCAAATCTCAAGCTCTTCGTTGCAAATGGATTTTCCGATCATTTGGATGGTAGCAATCCATATCCTTATAAACATCTTATGTGTGATGCAAATCAATTTACCCTTAATCCTCTTTTCTCTTCCTAACCATTGGAGGATCAAAATATCTATGTTGCTTTGTTTTCCATTATTTCACCCTCCATTTTACCTTACATTCTTAACCTAAACACTTGTGCTTTGATATGGTCCACTCTTGAACATCGATTTTATTCCACAAACCGATATAGGGTGATTCAGTTGAAGAATGAGCTGCATTTTTTCTCTATGCAAAATCAACCTATGATTGAGTATCTTTCCACTTTTAAGAGGCTAGTTGATAACATTGATGTTGCAGGTGACTCCATCGATGCAGAGGATGTCATCCTCTACATTCTAAATGGACTACCAACAACCTATCAAGCTTTCAAAACAACTATAAGAACTAAACTTACCCCTATCAGCCTTGATGATCTTTACTCTCTTATATGTAGTGAAGAGGTAAGCCACATATGCCATAAAAGTTCTTGTTGTGACTAATTTCTCAACGACGATGGAGCTCAATTTTGCCATTACTTCCACCTATGGATGAAGTCGAGGCTATTTCTCCATCTCTTGAGGACACGACAAATCCAACATTCTGAATACCCCATCCTGCACCCTTCAACCTCACTTTTCTTGTGATTGTCGAATCTGCGGCAAAACAGGTCATTATTCCATCCCTTTTTGGCATCACACCAATCCTCACCACTCTCCATCCTCTACAAATTCCAATGTTGCATTCGCTGCGAACTCCTTCACTTCGCCCTGGTATCTGGACAGTGGCGCAAACGCTCACCTTGCTCCCAGCCCACAAGCTTTTCAGCATGCTACCTCTTATTCCGGTCCAGATCAGGTTCTTATCGGCAATGGTACTCCTCTTCCAATCCTTCATTATAGCAAAGGTTTACTACACCCTCTCATAAGGTTTCTCTTAATCTTCTACTTCATGTTCCACACCTCACGCATAAACTTCTCTCCATTTCTAAACTCGTTAATGATAACAAATGCTTTGTTTTGCTTAACAAGAATGGTTTTCTTGTCAAGGATTGGAAGACCAATTGCATACTTCTCCAAGGTCCCTGTCATAATGGACTCTATATGATCCCCTTCCTACCACAGACATCCAACATCACTACGACTACTGCTTTCGTTGTCTCTTCATCCTCTTCTCAGTTGTGGCATAGACGCTTAGGACATCCCAACTCTACTACACTTCTTGTTGTTATCAAAAATGTTCTTGCTTTATGTCTTTCATCTACTTACAAATTATGTACTTCATGTGCTCTTGTTAAGAATCACATATTATCGTTTACTAAATCAACTTATCTATCTCATTCTCCACTTGAATTAATACATGCATATGTTTGGAATCCTTCCCCTATTGTATCCCATGATGATTTTTTGTTATTCTTATATTAATTGATGATTACTCGCATTATACATGAATATTTTCGGTTAAGCATAAACCAGAGGTTGCTCACACATTCATTAACCTCAAAAACTTAATTGAAAAACATTTTAGTAAGCCTCTATGCACTCTTCGCGCTGATGTCGGATGAATGTTTCTCAATAATACACTCATGCTCTTCCTCTCAAAATATGTCATATATCATCAATATACTTGTCCTCACACTCCACAAAAAAATGGCATGCTTATCAATTCCTCTACAAAACTCCACCTACATATACTTAGCTCTGCCCATGTGAATCCAATAAGATTGCTCTACGCTCAGCCTCTTGCGCCTTCTTAGGCTATACCCTTTGCCAAAAAGGATACAAATGTTTCAATTCGCTCAAAGATGTAACATTGTCTCCAAACATGCGCAATTTGATTAAACTTCTGACACGCATCCTACAATCCATACTCCAGATTCTCCAAAAACTCCACCACCCTATCTACCTCCCTTTCCTCATATTATCCCACTATCTCAACATTCTCCACAAGATCTTTCTTCTGATACCTTTCAACCTTCAGCTACAACGCACTTCTTCCACACATAACTCTTCATCAACAACTCCTTATTCTTCACTTATCTCGCCCACCTCCTCCACATCTACTTCTTCCTCTACTCTTCCCTTACCACTATGTCATCTTATAACCACTCGCCTCCACAGTGGCTCCGTAAAACCTCGCACCATTCTCGATCTCCACTATACTGTCCAATCTATTCCAACATCTTATACTTCTTCCGCCAAGCCTCCTCATTGGTTTCATGCCTTGTCCTCCGAATTTTTATGCTCTTCAATCACAAGGAACTTGGCCCTTAGTTCCTCCACCACAACATTAACATGACAGTGATTGTAAGTGGATTTATTAAATTAAATGGCATACTAACAGCACTATTACACACTACAAAGCTCGCTTAGTAGCTCAAAGTTTCAAACAGGAATATGACATTGATTATCATGAGACTTTTAATCCTGTTGTAAGGTTCCCTACTATTCGAATCTTCCTTACTATTGCACTACATTTTGGTTGGTCTATTCTATAACTTAATGTTATTAATGTCTTCCTACATGACAATCTCACAAAAACTATTTCCATGATTGAACCTCAAGGTTTTCAAGAACCATAAAAACCTTATTATGTTTGCATATTACATAAAGTCATTTATGGACTTAAACAAACCTGACGATAGTGGTTTTCCATATTATCTCCCTATGTACTCACCAAAGGTTTTCACATAAGCTTAGCCAATCCCTCCTTCATTTTTCACAACAATAACATACGGGTTTATCTGGTAATTTATGTTGACGACATCTTGATTTATGGCAATAATTCCACTTTCATTTCCACTATCTTACGACAACCTTAGCAACATATCCAAATACATAATCTAGATGCTCTCTCATGATTTTTGGGCATTGATTCCTCCAAATCTTCAGTTGGCTATCACTTATCTTAGCAAAATTACATTCAAGATATTATTGTTACCGCTGTTATGTCCTCTTGCAAACCCCTTACCACTCCATTGACATTTAAATGGCCGAAGTATCAACAGCTACAAATCCCCTACAATCAACCTGCTATATTTCGGTAGATAGTAGGTTCCCTTCAATATCTCAACAATACTTGACCAGATATAGCCTTTGTTGCTAATAAGTTGTGTCAACATATGTATCAACCATTAATCAGTCATTTCCATCAAATGAAATGGATCCTACGCCATCTCAAAGGCACGGCACATCTTAGACTTCTTCTCCCAAGAACCGGCCTTACACTTTCAACATATTATGACTCTGATTAGGCTGGCAATATCCAAGATCTAAAATCCACTGCAGGTTTTTGTCTTTTCCTTGGCAAAGCACTTATTTCCTGGTCTGCCAAGAAGCAGTCCACTATCACTAATTTGTCTGCTAAAGCTGAGTACAGATCACTTGCCGCTGTAGCGTCTGATTCCATTTGGGTTCAACGTTTACGTCCTAACTTTTATGTACCACTTTAATCCACACCACTTTTCTGTGACGGCATTTCCATAACGTCCATAACTTCCAACCCAATCTTTCACTCATGTACAAAGCATATAGAGATCGATCATCATTTCATTCAGGACTGTGTTCAAGCTTAACATATTACAGTACATCAATTTTCCACCATTAACCATATATCAGACATATTCACTAAATCATTGCATACCCATAGACTCGCTCATCTTCAAGACAAGTTGATGGTTGTACCTCCCATCAACTTGAGGGGCGGTGATAACAATAACCTATCTCCATTAAATCATAAATTATAATGATTAACTGCAATGCTCCCTGTTCAAAACTGATCACCACTCTTCTGTTATAATATATTTTACTATTTAATGTAAGTATGTAACTACCTTACATACTCCTGTCATGGCTTGAAGTTGAAATTTTTCTTTGAAGCTCATCTTTAACCAGTAATGTACATGCTAATGTTTCATCACCTAAACCCTTAAGCTTAAAAATCAGTATCTTTAGAGAGGGATAAAGAATACAATAGTAATACATCTTAATTTGTATCATCAACAATTACATTAATATTTGAAAGAATTAAGCCTACATTTGGAACAATTTTCTTTTTATTTCTACAGGGACTTCTAAGTACAAAAATTTCTTAAAAATAGCAAAAAATTAATGACAAAAATCATCCCAAACAAAATCTAAATTTACTTAAATATGATTTAATAAGTATATCTTCATACATGTTAAATAAATAGAGTCCATTTTGTTAAAATTTATTGGAGAGTTTGTCATAAACAAGTAGTCCAGCTTGAGCCAATGCATAAGTAAACAAATATTTATAAGGCTAAGACTTGCTTCAAAGTTATATTAATAATCTTCACCTAAGCCTTTCTTTCTCCCAATATTCTTAACCAGGATATCTCCCAAACTGAAACAGAGTGAAGGAATGCTAGAATTTGATTTCTTAAGTCAACACACTATTAACAGATTCTTTCAAAAATCTAAATTTTATTTCTATAAAGATTGTTGGAGATGCATATAAAAAAAAATGAAAAATGCTCATGAATCTAATGTCTATGTCTTAGGCTTCATTTGGAACGGCTTTCTTTCTACTTTTAAAGCAGCTTTTTAGTATAAAAATTAAAACTTTGTGCTAAAAAATTGCTTTAAGAAGCAGAAAAAAAAAATACATTGAAAATTTTATTTGAGACAGCTTCTATTATGCTTCAAAAAGGGTTCATTGAAGATTTCTTTTCAGATATATAGAGAAGGTTTAGAACTACCAATTTGTAAAAATATATCCTCTTACTATGCTTTATCAAAGAAAAAAATTATACACAAGAAGAACAGACCTTGCTATGGGAGTTAAAATTGGAGCAAAGAAGTAGGAAGAAAACAAGCAAGGCCATTGCATACTTTCCTTCCAATGGCTAATCACATCCTTGCCCACCCCCTTTCTTTCCTCTTCTCCCTATTTACTTGTAGACTTCTTCCTTCCTTCCTTTGACAAATCCTTTCTTTTAAGACTCCAGTAATAATAATAAAACAAAATTTCAGACCTTTCTATATATGCAAATAGGATATCTCAATTCTATCTTATCAAGATTTGGTGGGAGAAAACTTTGACTAATTACATCATACAATATTTCCCATTTTTTCAGTGCACAAAATCATGCATGTAATGTCAAACAAAGCGCACACACCAAATTCATAAGCTACAGTCACCAAAAAGTGGCAAACATCAAACGAAAAGACACAAATAAAGTAAAATTGACGATATAACCATATGCCTTAGACTTCGTTTGGGACGGCTTTTTCACTGCTTTTTGAAGTAGCTTTTTAGTATAAAAAAATTAATTTTTATATTAAAAAGTTGCTCCAAGAAGCAGGAAAAAAGCTGTCACAAACGAAGTCTTAGTCATTCCTAATCACAACAGCAAATCTGTCCTTGCAGGCAATCTTCTAAAGAAATTTATAGGTGCAGATGGAAGCTTACTTCTGAATCTGGGATGCCTCATCATATAAAAACCACAAGCAACAACCACCACAGAGAAAGGTATCACATAGAGCGCCATGGCCGCCCCAAGACAAAAAATCAATCCTATTACAGTTGCTCGAGGGTCCCTCCAGCTTAGCAGCGCCTGCATTCTTTCCCCTTGTGTTGCAATGTCTCCAACCACGGTTTGTATCCTCCCAGCCACACTCCTCAATCTGTCATATCTCATCCTCACTATATCAGAACTCCTGCTTGTTGGGAATGTGTCAAATTCCTCATCAAGTTCATCAGGATGTGCTGTATCAGCACATGAAATTCTGGTGTCCATATGTGGAGGATGTCGTGGCCGGTATCGATAGTTCCATATCCCAATCAGGAAGAAATAGAGGAAGATTGTGGTAAGTATAAGCTCTGGGAAGCACACAAGCATAACCAGTAGGATGTGTACGAGGACAGTTGTTACCGGGTTCTTCCACCAGGAAACATCACTGAACCACTTTACAATAGTAAAAAAGCTTGAGAAGACTGACACTAAACGGAAGAAGTTTGCCTTGCTCTTCCTCATACTCCATAGATGTGATTCAACGTCGGACATGTACTCAATAATTTCTTTTCTTAATGGTGGTTCCATACGACTAAGTCTTGCTGCTATAATCTGAACAGCTTGATTACGGAGCAAGTCAATATGAGTCATGGAAAGTGGCCTGATATAGTGCATCTTTGGCAGCATCGGTTTCGAATACACGAGCATTGCGTTCAGCATCGATGCGGATGAGAATCGAACGGCAAGATGAAGCTCACCCATCTTCTTCAAACCAGAGTTATGGAGGATGAGGAGTGGATATGAATGAGTGTACACTCTTCCTGCTTCCAACGTGGAGAGTCGAATTCGAACCTTGCCGATTCTGGCATCTTTGATTCCAACTGAGGCTTTCTCGAGCTGGCAATTGTCGAACACGGCGACAGTGAGGATTGTGGCATGGTCATAGACTTCCCATGTGTACTGTTCATTGTATTTGGGACTTAAACTGTTGATTATAGTTCGAGTTCTCACCCATTTCTGTCCATACTTTGCTACGCAGTAAGTGTCACAGGTGCCTTTTCCATCTCTTGTTTTCGTTGGATGGAGCCCCTCTACATTGAGTATTCCAACTTCAAGCAGCCCAATGGAAGGTTTCCATAGCTGTTTTGCAGATGGCCGGAGGTCACTGCTGTAGTAGGTTGACTCATCAAGGACATGGTAGCCTCCATCAAGGCAGACTCTTACATGAATTCTACTTGAAAACTTGTCTTTCTTCGAATGCTCTTCTTCTGCTACACCATGCTTCTCAAGACTATACCATCTTGAGTTAATGACTCTATCTTCTATGCGTTTTTCAACTGAGCCAAGGTGTATCTGAACTCGGCCAATTGATTCTTCTTTGTTAGGATTAACACGATCAAGTACAGAGAGAATTAATGGTTCATCAAAGGGCTCAGCAGCAACAAATATGTGATCCTCATTCCAGACAGGGCTGACTGTCCCGGCCTGGATTGGCTTTGTCTTCAAGACTTGGTTACCAAGCTGACACTTAACAAACACATCAGGTATGCGGCTTTTTTCGGATGTTATAATGTCTTGTGCTTCGATAATATCGACTCGAAGATACCATAGCCTTGGAGCATGATAAACCTTTGATCTGATTTCTGAATTTGGAAACAAAACACCAGGTGCCACTGCATCAGAAATTACTGCAATTGGAAAACATTCATCAGCTTGAGTTCCAAACCAGATTGCTAACATTATCTCTCCTTTTATTTTCTCCCCCTTCTTGCCAGCAAGCCAGTGCCACTCTGGAGCAAGTGGACTATCAGGAGGTGTTCGTCGTGGTATATCATGGAGATCAAACCGAATCATACCGATGAAGTCATCCTTGAGTACATCTTTGTCTTTGACAAACACTTCGATGAATGATGATTGAATCAGTTCCCTTGAGAAGGCAAAAACTTCATCCCATTCTGGGTTCTGATTATTATCAAAGTGCTTAGTAGTTCCCTTGTAGTTGCCAAGCCTCACTTCAACATAAGGATCAATGCTTCCAGTGATGTTTTTCTTTGGCAACTCTCGGGCCTTTGCCACCCGCACGAACAGATACTCAACCTTCTCAACAAGATTATATGTGTTGGCTCCAAGAACTTGTCCCCCTCCAAGAGAAGGGCTCGTCTCTTTGAGCTGATATTCTATTGGCTGCTGCGACGACGAAGACAACACTCTTACATCTCTTGGAGCGCCTGAACTCATCTCATTAGCTGCAAAATTAACTGTTTGTTCTCTAGGGAGGTGATTGAAGGTATGCGTGGAAGCTGTTCTCTTTTCCTTAAATTGCGCTGAAGTTGAATTTGGACTTGAGATCTCAGGTTCAGACTGATATGCTTGACCATGAAGAGTATTAGATGGAAAGGGATCAAGATCTGGAAGGGGATTGTAAGGACTTGTTGAAGGGTTTTCAGTGAGAAATACTTTGAGGCAAAGCTCTCCTCTAGTGCGTGAAAAAATATGGGGTTTCTCTAACGGGTAGTGAAGCGCAGTTGCTTCTGAGAGGGGGACAAATGAGGTGCCAGAAATTGGGACCTTCCCAATTAAAGTCTTTGAATTTGTGTTTCTGTTTATGTGATAGATATATGCCTCAAGGGATAGATTTGGGAGGGATGATGGATCAGAAATGTTGAAGTAAAATTGCTCATTCCACTGTGGATTCAGGTCTTTCTCTTTGATGGTTGTTCGAAACTTCTGATTGTCGAATTTGAGCTCAACGCAGGGATTAGCAGAGCCTTGTCCATCTTTTGGAGCAAGGTCATGTGCGCTGACAACTTCTACACCTATCTTCATATTGCTCATTTTAATAACTGAGTTGTTGGCTTTGATTTAGTAATTGTAACCACCAGTGACCAACCTGAAGCAAAAGAAGCAGATGCAGCTGAACTGTCACAACAAAAAAAGCATAATCTGCAGACTTATTTTATAAAAATCTCTTTTAACTAACCCAGTTAGGTTTAGTAGTTTTTCAGAATTCTGATCCTAAATAGTGACATTAAGAGTACTGATTGATGACGATGAGGGATTGTGCAGTCTATAAACTATGCAAAAATACAGCTCTACCATGTCGAAAGAGATGAACCATTTAAGGCGGTGGCAAAAGAAATATCAAATAAATATCTCATTTTTTTACAAATCATAAAAATAATAAAAAAAAGCATAATGCATTTTAAATAAAATAAACTGTTCAGTAACAAAAGTATGCAGAAATAACAACTTAAGAGTAAAATTCTTTACTTCAACAATTCTGCATTCTTCAAATTGCTAGTAGAGATTACCCTGGAGTTGACATACAGCAAAAAAAAAAAAATGAAATCATCGTTAAGTTTTAAAATCTTCCTTCGAAGTAAGATGGGGAAAGATGTATGGTTTTCAGCAAAGAGGAATAAAGTGTTGATAGCCAAAATTAAATGTGAAACGCCTAAAAAAGTCATATCCATAAATAAAAACATAAAAAGATTTAATGGTTCGGTGGCTTTGAATTATTATGCTTGATTAATTAATAATTAATTATAATTAAAAATTAATCATAATTAAATTTAATTAATTATGATTAATAAACAATAATTATAATTAAATATAATTGATCATCATTAAATCTAATTTATAATTAATGATAATTAAATATAATTAAAAATAATTCATTATAATCAAATTAAGTTAATTAAAATTAATTCAAATAAATTTATATAGGAATTGAACGGGATTTAAGCTATATCTCATTTGAATGAGATTTAGTTAATCTCCTAACAGCTTAAATCCTCGGTTTCCCCTTTCAACCCCCTCTAATTTATGGGATCAAACCGAAGAAGTGCTTGAAAGGGCACAAGTTACCTTCACAGCAAGTCACTCCTGCTGTTTGCTTCCGATCAAAAATGTCATAACCTCCAATTGGACCGAAAGGGAGGTCGTGGAAGGAGCTAGGGAGATCGGGCAGAGAGCAAGGGAGATCGGGCTTTGGAGGAGCAAGGTAAGTCGGTTTCTCTCCCTCTCTTTCTCTCTCTCTCTCTCTGGACGGAGGATCGGAAATCGGGCAAAGGGGGCGGCGGGATTCTCAGTTGGCTGGGCTTGGTCGGGCAGAGAAGTCGGAGGAGGGATCGAGTGGAAGGAGATCGGAGGGATTCGGTCGGAGGGGGAGCTTCTTGAGTGGCTGCTTGGGCTCGGGATTGAGGGGAGATCGGGATTCTCGTGTGTGGAGCAGCGACGGGAGCAGAGGGAGTAGCGAATGGAAGAAGCAGCGAGTGGCTTCGTTTGGGTCGGTATTTAACGACGCGAGAAGGAGCGAAATCGAGGCCATCGTCGCAGGTTTTACGCAGGAATCACGGGATGCAATCGTTCGGCGCCGATTTCAGCCAGATTCACGGCAGGATTCGTGGATCCAACAGTTTACAGGTATTATTTTTTCGTTTCTTTTGGGTTTATCTGTGAAGGTCAACAATGGGGAAAGATGTATGGTTTTCAGCAAAGAGGAATAAAGTTTTGATAGCCAAAATTAAATGTGAAACGCCTAAAAAAGTCATATCCATAAATAAAAACATAAAAAGATTTAATGGTTCGGTGGCTTTGAATTATTATGCTTGTTATGTACAAAAACATTCGTGATTGTAAAGAGCTAGAAAGTTTAATGTTTTAGTATCGTGTGAAGACCCAACACACATAGATAAGAGAAGAGTACAAGAATTATAAGAAACACAAGAGTTTTTATATGGAAAATCTAGGAAAAGGAAAATCTACAGGGTCTAACCTAGTTAAAATGGTTCAAATATTGTTTATTATCGATTACAAATGATGTCTTTCCATAAGAGAATGCATTAATATACACTATAAAGAGCATATTAGGGATAGGACATTGAAGAAGAACATGCTTGTTATTCAGGTCCTTGATGGTATACCCATGAGGAGAAAACGAAAAAATGCAATAGTTGTTAGCGACAAGGCGATGGACAAATAACAATTTAAAAGAGAGACAAGGAACATGGTGGAGTTGAGAGAGCTTTAAGCTACCTGAAACTATGGGAAGTAAACCATTACTAGTGTGGTGAATCCAGAGCTAATGACCAATGCCGAGAACTACCAGATTGGCACAAATATAAGGCTTGGGCGAACTGAGCTGCGTCAAATCAGATGTGAGTTGCATTAGATCATATTTGAATCTCAAGCCTAAACCTAAGCTCTAAAGTCCAAGCTCCTCCCTCTCCATATAGCAATTGGAGGCCTATTTATAAATTTTTTAGAGTGACATGGCTCATAAATATAACCAAAGCCCAGAACATTCCATCAGACGTCCACATTGATTCGCTTAATCATGAAACAATCGTCCAGCATTTAAGTGCCTTAATGCAATTAGAATTAAGCAACTTGGTCTCATTGGATTCATTGTCAAGCCACTCGATTCAACTATGAGGATGCTAAATTTGAATATTATTTGTCATCCAATTAATATCTTATTGTTTTTTATTATGCTTCAAATATTTGATTTAGACTCATTCGGGCTCAAATTGGACTATTTTTGGTGTTGTTGAGTTTGTCAAGTCAAGATGTTCCGTTTGACTATAAATATAATGAAATCGGAGTTTGAATGGTCCTAAATTTAATTTTAGAAGTTATCAATTTAAATATGATTCGAGATTCGTGCCCAATCAAGGTTATTTTCAATTTCTTTATCACTGCTAAAAATTAAGTGCAGGCCTTTCCATAAAACTCATTAGTGAACCAAATAAACAATCTCTTTATGAAGCCAATGCTTCAATTTTAAGAGATCATTCATAACTAGTGAAATCATATCAAGAACTACAAACTCATCAAAAGAAAACAAAAACATATATATTTAAATGCATGGATCACAAATTTTATTTGCGCAGCTAAAAAAGCTAATCACAAATAGGGAATCAATGAAATCATTCATCTTCAGAACAAATAACTGGAAGGAAACAAACATCCATAGATAAATATAGCTCAACAATCTGATCTCCAAATTATAACCTACACAAAGCAAAAGAACATCGGTAAAGCGCTCAGGAAGCTAATTCGTAATTTCACTGAAAGGAATAAACAGTAATACTTGATATGTTACTTTGAATCTCGTTTATGCAACTCCATACAGCAAGCTCTCCTACAAATTGAACGAATCATGTGTTTAATTTAAAAAATCACTAATCTCAACAGGAAATAGTTTTTTTTTTTTTCTGAAAAGGTAAATCATCAGCAAAAGAAAATCAAGCACTGCAACTTGTGAGAAAGGGGAGAAGCTTTTTAAATGCGATCCAACTTTATTAATAAATCATAGAGAAATATACAGAAAAAAAAAAATTTAAATGCGATCCAACTTTATTAATAAATCATAGAGAAATATACAGAAAAAAATTTTTTAGTGCCAAAGAGCAATTTTTTAGCCTACTTACCAGTTGAGAAGAGGACCTCCAAGAACTAGCAATATGAAAGAAAGGGTAAAGGAGAGAAAGAGATAATCTGCTTTTCTGAGGTGCGGAAGGAGGAGGACGGACAGGTGGCCGCCAATGGAAGCTGAAATCGGAGTCATTTCCGTCACTGTCCTACCAACGAACAATTATTAGGTCCAAAAAAAGGAGAAATATCGAGCAATAACGGGGAATACCATCATGTCAAGATCTAATATTAAAAAAAACTCTGAATTTTTTAGTATAATTCGGTATTGGTCTTCACAGAGCCGTATTCTATTACCAAATAATACCTAGCAATACCGAGCAAATACCAAATTTTTTGGCAGGATTTTAGTGCCGACCGGACATTTCTCTACGTCCGGTCGGAGGACCTAATAATTGTTCCCTACCAACTGAACTTTTTTTTTTGGACATTTAGCTCATTTAAGACAAATTCATACACACAACACATACACATAGACTCGAACCCTAAACCTCTTAGTTAGAAGCCTAAGCTCTCAACCAATAGGCCAAGGAGACTTGTGTCCAAATGAGCCTTCGTTTCTGTATATATTTTTAAAAAATCATTGCACCTTACATACATATGAAAAAATTGAGTGAAATAATTTAATTAAATTATTTATAGATTATACTTATTTTAAAACATATTTAATCCATTTCTATGAGATGAAACAGATTTTTCTTCTTTTTTTTCCAAAAAAAAAAATACCGTTTGCCTTGCTGGTTCTTCTCTTGGATTAATTTCTATTTAAAATAAGAAAAATGAAAAATAAATGTTTTATGAAGGCAAAGCTGCCAGACAATCTGATGTGGCCGGATGTAGACGTCCCCCAATAAGAATATTTTTTATTTATAAAACTTTCAATCACATTTACAATAATTGTTAAAATATTTATTAATTAAATTTGTCGGCATACAAAATTTAAAGATTTTGTTTCAAAAATTTTTATACTAAAATACTTTTCAGAAAGCAATAACAAATTTTTTTCAGGTTTAATTTGGCACAATTTTTTTTAAGTTATTTTTTAGTAAAAAATATTTTAGTTTAAAAATTTAGTACTAAAAAAATATTTTAAGAAACAATAAAAAAATCATCATCTACGAAGCATTAATAACATGTAAATAAAGTCTTTTTTTATCTAATTATTGTAGTGAAAGTTGAAGCTTTTAATCAATACATTTAAATTAAGATTTATATTCATAGCATTACAAAATTTTAAAATTAATATCTTTAACATCTAAATTTTTTTTATTTACCCACATGGAACTTAAAATTTTAAATTTTAGCATAAATATCACTCTATCACACTCTATAGATTCGTCGTTGATATATCCTCGAAAAATTATCTTGATCCAGCACGAATCTCAATGTAAAAATCAAGTTGGAAACTTCAAAAAATAATTCTGGGATCATCTGAACTTCGATTTCAGCAAACTTACTATCGAACTGATCGTCTCGGAAATACGAATCCAACGATACCAAATTCGACTCAATCCGAGCCCAAACGGGTCCAAATCAATGACCCAAAGCGATGTTGGAAGATTCTAACCACAATTTGAGTTACCAAACGGTTTCCAAACATGACGAGCTTATAGTCAAATTGAGCGGCTCGATGAGACGAATCCAACGAGCCCAAGATCGCCAAATTCTAACATCATTAAGACCTTCAAATGTCTGACGAATAGTCCACGATTAAGGGATTCAATATCGGTCGTCCATCGAACCACTCCACATTTTCCCCTAATCTCACACCTATTTACGGGTCATGCCACTCCAGGAAATCTATAAATAGACCCCTCATTTCTCTTGTGAAGGGGGCCGAAGGAAGAAGAAAGAGAAGAGAAAAATGATAGGAGGGAAGAATTCCTCCTCGACCACCGCCGCCGGAATTCTGTCCAAGTGACGCCGGAATTTCGCCCGACCTCCAAGTAATGCTGGAGTTTCACCCAAACTCCAAGTGACACCGGAATTCTCCCCGAATACCATCTAACGTCGGAGTTTTCCTCGGTCACCAACTAACGTCAGACTTCTACCCGACGTCGAACCTCCGCTCTTAGCCAAGTTTCTACCCGACACCAGACTTCTGCCTATTGTCTAACTTTCATCGGACATCTATCCGATGCCGGATTTCTCTCCATTGTTGGATGTCTACCTAACGCCATCATTCTGACCTCTGTCGTTAGACAATAGTCCTTTTGACTAACGTCGTCTGCCGACTACAGTCCTTCTGGCATCCGTTGCCTGCCGACAAAGATCCTTCTGGCCTCCGTCGCCCGCCGACAACGATCCTTCGGACTAGCGTCGCCCGCAGACTACAGTCCTTCAGGCCCCTATCGCCCGCTGACAACGCTCCTTCCGACTTATGTCGCATGCCGACTACAATCTTTTGGGCTAAACAAACACATCATTAGTGATTCTCTGCATTCTCACCTTGTAATGTACTCTATAAGATGTACATCAAGCTAAGGCCTTCCCCTAAGGAAGGGTCTCATTTGTAATCAACTATAATACTAGTGGATTCTAAACCCTAAACTGGGCTATGCCCCATGGTTTTTCCCCCTTTTAGGGGTTTTCCACGTAAAAATTTTGGTGTCTCATAAATACTACACACCCTCTCTCTTATCTGATTGCGTGCCGGATTTTCGTACAACGCTAAGGCTTTAAACTTTATATTTCTCTACCGCCGCGAATACTCCTGGACGCAATATTCGTGATTCCATATGTCATTGATATTGTCCTTATATTTGCATCATCATCTCTTAATGTTGTCTGTCTTGTCACCACCTCCACAGACATCTCTCTCATTGTCACATTTGCATGATGTCAGCCCCATCTCCAAATTAACATACTACCAATCCCAACATGTTGCAACTCTTCCTCTTTAATTTCCAAAATCCTCCTTCGCAAAACATAACGAAGTCCCTACGGAGCTTGCTAGAGCAACACATTGATGAGATCAGCCAAAAAAAAGTTGTTACTGAGCTTGCAAATTAACACATCAATAAGACTGATGTAGGGAAAAGATTCACGACATAACTCGATAGAGCAAGGCTAATAGAGTTAATAGAGTTAACAATATGTTAAATTATGTAAATATTAAAATTTAGATGTTCAATATTTAAATGGATTTAAAAAAAAAATTAAGTGTCATATGTGAAAATACTGCGAAATAATAATGGAACTTAAAAAATGTTTAAATTCAACATCCAAAATTAGATTTATTATATTTAAATTTTTCTTTAATGAAATGTGGCCTTTTTTTTTTTTTTTTTGCATGAGAAGGATTTCTTGGACAACACTCTCCAAATACCCTGAAATTACGATGACAAGTAAACTAAAATAAAATATATAAAATAAAATATATATTTTTTTTGCACTATGGAAAAATAAACTATAATTTCTTAGTACACAAACATTCCAAAATATAATGATTTTATGCACAAAAAAAAAATCACAAAGAAAAAAAAAAAGAAAAAAAGCGAATTCCAGTCAAATAAATTTCATATATAAACCCGTCTGGTTAATCATAGTATTAATAATAAAGCATGCTAACTAATAAAAGAAAGCTTTTGGATCTATTTGGGACAACTTTCGTAATGCTTTGCTTTAATAACACAATCATAATTCTATTTGGCTATGATTTTTTTGTTGATTTCAAGAAACTTTTGTGCTATAAATATATTTTTTTACAGTCGTTTTTGAAAAAATTATTTTCTCCATAATAATTTTACAATCATCCTAATGAAAAATTATAGTCATCTCAAACAAATCCTTAGACGTCAATTCGATTGAAAATTAAGAATTTTGAGATTGCCATTATAGACTCGACTAATAATGGGTTATCTATTAATAAACTAAAGAATTTTTTGAGTTAGATAATGATTAGATTAATGACCAATTTTGTATTATTTGTATAGACTAAAATGCTCCATCCAAATTGACTTATCATAATTCAAATATTGTCACTTAATTTTGGCTATAACTTCTAACAAATAATACAAAATTGATAATAAATACCTTGCTATATAAGTGTATAAATATAACTAAGTCGAGAAGAGTCGTGAAACAACTTGATAAGTGCCAACCTAATCTAACTCGTTGGTCAGCTAATTATATATATATATATACACACACACAGTGGCGGAGCCAGGAAATTTATCAAGGGGGGGCCTAAATTAACTTAGTAAAAATTTCCCTCAACTTTTTTCATCCGGGCTTAGGACCGGCATAGGCAGTTTAAAAAATTAGTTTCTTACTCATCTTTTAAAAACACCTTTTCCTCATGGTCATAATCCAGGTAAGAAATCATACAAGTTTGAGTATGAAATTCATGAAGCATCCTCCTGTTGAAATCCTTCCCACTGAATTAAGAGCTGCAGTTATGGCATCCCTTTTTTGTATGAAGTAAGTATGTTGTTGTAAAATGGTGAGTGGTTTGACGATCAGATGTCCTATGAACATGTCTGCTGGTAACATTGCAGGATGAAATAAGATATTATCATGATAAGGTTTTAATGGGGATGCGTGAGAGACCGAATAGATGTTTGTGGTAATTAGGGTTGTCAATATTTGACACAATCTGAAAATCTGACCTGACTCTGACCAGAAAATTTCAGGTTAGGTCAACCCGTTTGTGAAACGTGTCATATTCGGGTTAACTTGGAACCCCGAAACCAACTTAGTTTTGACCGGCGTGAGTTGCTTGAGTAGTGTTGTAGTCCTCCGTCAGGTTTTGTATTCGCAGTCTGTCGTCTTGTGTGAGTCACATTCGTAGTCTACCGTTGGTATGAGTCGTGTCGCAGTTGCATTCGTAATCCATCGTCTCTCGTGAGAACACATGAGCGGTGAGTCACGTCGCTTCGGCGCTTGGCTGCCTCTTCTGGTTCGGTCTTCGGCAACTTTAGGGGATTTGGTGTGGCTGAATAAGAGCGTGTTCGAACTTTTGAGTCGCATTACCAGTTTGTCGCCAGATTTACGGGATTTTGTTGAATAAGCATGTTGTCGTCGCTAGATTTATAGGGTTTGGCTGAATAAATGCACAAATGGAAGAACCAGAAACATACTAACAGGATTTACGG